AGTGTTTATTTAATATATCTGGCTAGCTATAGCTACTTGCTAACGGTTTAGCTTACCCCCGCGATTCAAAGTAACGTCAACGTAGCTGTAATTTATGCTTTGCTTACATGTTCGCATAACTTGGAAGTTTACTGACATTTACATACCTTGTTTACCTGGCTTAAGTGGTGGCTCTGGGGTTGTTATGTGAGCCACCACTTGAGAATTGTCGTCTTTTTTAAGAAAATGTTTTCTTATGTCCATCTTCAAAAACTCTGAGTCCGTCTGACAGTTTATTTTAAACATTGTCACAGCTCACAGGATAGGTACCAGTCAGCCAATAAGACAGATGTTTATTTCCATTCAACTCTCTGGTTGGTCTGGTGTCTTGCCTCTGTTGCATTCACTGAACACGGGAAATTACAATCCTGCCGTCCTCTCTTGTGTCATGATGAGGTTCAGGTAAAGCATGGTTAATGTATATTATTGACTCAATAATATAATACATGACTTTGAGAGTAGGCAATCTAGGCATATTAACACAATTAATTAAACATACTTATCACGGCGACGGTGTACTGAGATTTATTTTTATTTTTTGTTGTTGCTAGGGGGCCCCTTAGTGGCTGCGGGGCCCTAAGCGGCCGCTTATGTCGCTTAATGGGTCGGGCCGGCTCTGCCACCAATCCTGCAGGTCCATTGGTGCTGATCCCTGCTACCTTACTCACACAGAAGAAGGGTACATCTTCAGCTCCTCCGGGGGACTGGCGTCAGGTTCAATTCCTTGCAGAAGCCTTTTGGAGCAAATGGAGGAAGCAGTACCTCTCAACTTCGCAGACAAGGAGTAAGTGGCACAGAAGCAAGCCAAACATATCATTGGTCATCAAGGCATTCCCGAGCAAAGATGAAAAAGGTCTGCATCGTAGAGATCAAGATCTCCAGAGAAGATGGTGCCAAGCTTTTCCTCAGACCTATTACAGACTTAGTCCTTCTTCTCTCCGAGGAAGACTACAAGAGCAAGTAGTGACATTCGAAAATGGATATTTAGAAGCTAAGTTGTTGAAGCTAAGGTGTTATCTATAGATACCAGGAAGGGAGTGTTATGTCCTCATAAGGACATTATTTTTCATTCGTTGGATTTGTCTCCCCCTGCTGGCAGAAGTTGAAATGAGTAAAATATGTACCATGTGACCTAGTGAGGAAGAAACACGTGAACAGGACAGCCACATGTTTTTATCGACTACAATCCGCTCTAATCCTTTACGTTCCATGCCTTTGGTCGCATTATTGGCATGTACAATTGATATAAACATAGTGTTCCAGTTAATATTTGAAGCAATTAATAATGTTTATAGAGAATATTTTTGGGATGATAACTACCGATAGCTACAGCCATCATTTTGTGCTACAAACATGTGTGTGTAGGTTCTTTGGCGTTAATTCAATGTATGTTGTATAATGTGTGTAAATATTCTTCCGCATATTTATGTACTTCTTGTATTGTGTTTATTTCCTAGTTTCATACTTTCTTCATAATTAAAGCGATTAAACAACATCTACGGTCTCCAGTCCTTGATGGTGGAAGGTGTTTAGCTGACAGTCAAAGTGTACAAGAGATACGTGCACGTAGGACGACACACATAGGTTGTTAAATAATAATTTGTATTTAAATTACGAGAGCCACACATTTGGAAATAGCTAGATGGATAGCTAATATTTGCTTGTGATATGGGTAGCTAAGGTTAGCTAGCGAACCATAGCTAGTTTTAGATAGATAGATGAAATACCTTTTAACCAATTATTGTAAACTTTTCTGTTAACATACACTTCAGTATTTCCATTGCATGCTACTTTTAACATATACTTAACATTCCCTTATTATTACATTCCATTAAGCTAATGCTTTTATCCAAAATGACTTAACATGTTGTTATTGGTTTCATTTTATGACTTAACCAAGTATAATACAGCTAGATATACTTGAAAGACATAGAATTATCTCAAGCCATCACGTTTTTTTTACTCTGCTCTAGTTTTCAAACAAAAAAATCACTTTCACTTTGTGTAGGAGCTCTTGGAAATTTAAGACAGGCTCCCGGTACTTTCAGGGGTTGCCGGCTGTTAATTAATGGAAAATTAGACGTATCAACATATGTGTCTGCACTGACACAAAGAGACAATTAAACAAGCACAATTTAGCTAAACCCGCAACCACATATGCACATGCATCGACACATTCACACACACAACTTCACAAAAACATAACTTCAATGCCAAATCTCTGCGCCCTAGGGCGAAAATTACAACCACCAAAGGGTGGAGAATATTTTGTGGATCAAGCGAGGTTTAAGACTATATAAAGGAAATGTTCAGGCCTACATTAGCATTTAGGGAAAGGGACCTTGAAAGATTAGAGATACAGATACAGAGACACTACACAAACATTTCACTGCATTTGTGGACAGGAGTTAGTGTTTGCTTTACATACAAAACATATATGGATATATATATGAGCCTAAAATATGATGTAAACTTTAACTGAATTAATATTTTATAGAAAAAAAACTTGTGATTTTGCTACTTTTACTAAAGCAAAGGGTCTGAATACTTCTTCCATCACTGGTGGCTATGCAAACACGAAACATCTTTGTTATTGAATTAAAGGGCTCTATTGTGGTCATTTTCAGGTTCATATTTGTGCCTCTACTCTTACACGTTTCCATGCTTTTATTGTTCAAAGTTCTTTATTTTTCTTTCTCATACTATGTGCTCTGCAGCACCTCTTTTCACCCTCTGTCTGAAACCAGAGCCCAGTCTGCTCTGATTGGTAGCTCTGTCTGCTAAAAGATGTCCCGCCCCTTAGCCTACCACGTACAATGTGTTGGCGCTTCAGCCAATAGAAGTGCAAGTGTTACATAGTGATGTCACTATGTTATAGAAGTAAGCAGTGTCCAATGGAGGCAAGGGAGGAGTGTTTTCGAAAGACTTAGAAACTTTGGGATTTTAGCCTTTGCAGACGATTTAAACACACAAAAACCTATAACACACTACAGGAAAACCCCCAAAACCATTATAGAGCCCCTTTAAACTACTGGCTTAGATACGCTGTTGATGTTTCTGATGCTCATAACACAAAAAGAAGCAAGCAAAAGCCTCAGTGCCGAAATGGTAGCTGTTGAGAGGATTAAGAAGTGGCAGTGAGAGGGCTGAGCCCAAATGGCTTCAATTCAATCTTCAGATCCTCTTTGACACTTACAGATTAATGATAACGTTCAGCTGTGTTTTTTGTTTTTCCCCCTCCCTTATTAGGCTGATACACATGCAACACCTGAATGACCCTCCAAACTCAGTCATGGCGGTTGTTTTCTGACAATTTAAACCCTTTTTTCTGTGTATGTCATTGTGTGTTTTCATAAAGTTCACTTCACAAATATCGATTCTTAAAATATGAAATATGCTGTGTAATAATTGTGTATTTGTCTCTATGCTGGTAATCTGTCTTCCCCCTTCATTATGAAGATCATTACTGCCTGCTGCCCTCCTACACATCACTGGCCACCCAGAGAGTTGTTTAAACCTATACTGGATATGACTGCAGTTATAAGGAGGCACTGGGTCTTTAGTTTGCAACTAAAGTCAACAATGAAAACTAGAATTATCATGCTCTGTCGGAATTTCTAATCTAATCTGAGCTCATCCACACAATAATTCTGAAACCAAACTAAAGGAAAGCAGCATGCAACCATAATACAGAGATACTTAAAAAAGAAAGCTGACAAACAACAGTCCCTGTAATATTATATTGAGAAAATTCTACACTACACTTAATTGGTTTCAGTTTAATAGCTTTGATCATTGGTTTTATTTGGTGGTGCACGATAATTATCGGCCCGATATTAGGAATTATGACGTCATCCCGATAAACCCGATAAAAGTATTAATAGCCCCGATAATATACAATATATTTTTTGGGTAAAAAAAAAGAAAAAAATACTGCAGTGTGGGTGGATTGGGATGAGGGGCGCTTGTTTTTCACTCGGCTCCTCCCGTTTTGCCAGTACTGTGGTATTAGAGGTTTAGGAAGAGGGGAGTTTTTCACAAATCCAGCGCTCCCTAACTCATGCCTGGCTGTGACGTAAATGGTGTGCGGCCGTGAAGCCAGGACAGTAAACAAACATGTCGTCGGTAGTATGGGACTATTTCGAAGTTTAAGAGTTAGATAGTTCGCTTGCTATTTGTATTAACAAATGCAATGCAGAAGTTCCACGAGGAGGGAAAAAGGCAACGAGCTATAATACTTCCAACCTGATTAGTCACCTGAAACATCGCCATCGCTACGATGGTGTGTTAAAAGCGTACGAAGACGCCTGCGCTGCTAAACTAGCGGCGAATCCAAAGCCAGCTGC